AGACCAGAGACCCAGACCAAAGACCAGACCCAGACCAGACCAGACCACCAAGACCAGAGACCAGACCAGAGACCAGACCCAGACCAGACCAGACCAGACCAGACCAAGACCAGACCAGACCAGACCAGACAGACCAGACCAGACCAGACCAGACCAGACCAGACCAGACCAGACCAAGACCAGAGACCAGACCAGACCAGACCAGACCAGACCAGACCAGACCAGACCAGAGACCAGACCAGAAGACCAGACCAGACCAGACCAGACCAGACCAGACCAGACCAGACCAGACCAGACCAGACCAAAGACAGACCAAAGACCAGACAAGACCAGACCAGAAGACCAGACCAGACCCAAAGACCAGACCAGACCAAGAGACCAGACCAGACCAAAGACCAACCAGACCAGACCAGACCAGACCAGACCGAGACCAGACCAGACCAGACCAGACCAGAGACCAGAGACCAAAGAAGACCAGACCAGACCAGACCAGACCAGAGACCAGACAGACCAGACAAGACCAGACCAGACCAGAGACCAGAAGACCAGACAAAGACCAGACCAGAACCAGACCAGAGACCAGACCGAGACCAGACCAGAGACCAGACCAGAACCAGACCAGACCCCAAGACCAGACAACCAGACCAGACCAGACCAGACCAGGACCAGACCAAAGACCAGACCAGACCAGACCAGACCAGACCAGACCAGACCAGACCAAGACCAGACCAAAGACCAGACCAAAGACCAAAGACCAGACCAGACCAGACCAGACCAGACCAGACCAAGACCAGAGACCAGACCAAAGACCCCAGACCAGACCCCAGACCAGAGACCAGACCAGACCAGACCAGACCAGACCAAAGACCAGACCAGAGACCAGACCAAGACCAGACCAGACCAGACCAGACCAGAACCAGACCAGACCAGACCAGAGACCAGACCAGACCAGACCAGAAGACCAGACCAGACCAGACCCAGACCAGAGACCAGACCACGAGACCAGACCCAGACCAGACCAGACCAGACCAGACCAGAGACCAGACCAAAGAGACCCAGACCAGACCAAGACCAGACCAACCAGACCAGACCAAGACCAGACCAGACCAGACCAGACCAGAGACCAGACCAGACCAGACCAGAAGACCAGACCAGACCAGACCAGACCAGACCAAAGACCAGACCAGACCCAGACCAGACCAGAGACCAGACCAGAGACCAGACCAAAGACCAAAGACCAGACCAGACCAGACCAGAGACCAGACCAGACCAGACCAGACCAGACCAAAGACCAGACCAGACCAGACCAGACCAGACCAGAGACCAGACCAAAGACCAGAGACCCCCAGACCAGAAGACCAGACCAAAGACCAGACCAGAACCAGACCAGACCAGACCACCAGACCAGACCAGACCAGACCAGACCAGACCAGACCAGACCAAAGACCAGACCAGACCAGACCAGACCAGACCAGACCAAGACCAGACCAGACCAGACCAGACCAGACCAGACCAGCCAGAGACCAGAACCAGACCCCCAGACCAGACCAGACCCCAGACCCCCAGACCAGAGACCAGACCTGACCAGACCAGACCAGACCAGACCAGACCAGACCAAGACCAGACCAAAGACCAGACCAAAGACCAGACCAAAGACCAGACCAAGACCAGACCAGACCAGACCAGACCAGACCAAAGAGACCAGACCAGAAGACCAGACCCCAGACCAGACCAGAGACCAGACCAGACCAGACCAGACCAGACCAGACCAGACCAGACCAGACCAGAACCAGACCAGACCAGACCAGACCCAGACCAGACCAGACCAGACCAGACCAGACCAGACCAGACCAGGACCAGAACCAGACCAGACCAAGACCAGACCAGACCAAAGACCAGACCAAAGACCAGACCAGACCAGACCAAAGACCAGACCAAAGACCAGACCAGAGACCAGACCCCAGACCAGACCAGACCAGACCAAAGACCAGACCAGACCAGACCAGACCAGACCAAAGACCAGACCAGACCAGACCAGAAGACCAGACCAAAGACCAGACCAGACCAGACCAAAGACCAAGACCAGACCAGAGACGACCAGAGACCAGACGTCCAGGACCAGGTCTGGAGGTCTGGAGGTCTGGAGGTCTGGAGGTCTGGAGGTCTGGAGGTCTGGAGGTCTGGAGGTCTGGCAGGTCTGGAGGTCTGGAGGTCTGGAGGTCTGGAGGTCTGGAGGTCTGGAGGTCTGGAGGTCTGGAGGTCTGGAGGTCTGGAGGTCTGGAGGTCTGGAGGTCTGGAGGTCTGGAGGTCTGGAGGTCTGCAGGTCTGGAGGTCTGGAGGTCTGCAGGTCTGGAGGTCTGGAGGTCTGGAGCGTCCGTGTGACCCCGGCGTGTCCTGGGTCTGGTCTGTCGCCGTGGTAACAGTGTTTTTGTGTCCAGGTGTGCGGCGTGAGACGGAGGAGGAGCTGGCGGCGGGTCAGGTGGACGTGAGCTCCTCAGGTTCCCCGTACACGACCCAGAACATGACCTACTCCGAGGAAGACTACGACGCCCTGATCCGGCTCACGCACTACAACGCCACGCACAGCAGAGACGCCGTTCTGTCCGCCCTCGCCAAAGCCCTGAGCCGCCTGACCCCTGACCCCTGACCCCTCTGCCCTCGCCAAAGCCCTGAGCCGCCTGACCCCTGACCCCTGACCCCTCTGCCCTCACCGAAATTGAAAAAATTGAAAGAAATGTGTTTGTGAACTTCATAAATGTAAAAGTGAATCAGATGTGTGTGACTCAAACCTCCGTTCAAACTGTTTCTCTTCCCAACAGAATTGAAAAATAGTGAAAGGTGAAGGTGATGGGCAGGATTGATCCACAGGAAGAACCAAAAAGGAAACATTTGTCTGACTAAGAAATCATCCTGAGTTTACAGAGAACATTTTGTATGTGGAGCAACAACAAAACAAAACCCTGATCCTTCGCTCAAACTCGGTTATGAATTTAAAAAGTCAACACCAAAGTGAAAGTCTCCAACTGTTCACCAAGAAACACCTTCCACTGCAAAGACCAAGACGTGATGTTTGTGTAAAACCACAAGAACAAGAAAGTGCAGCTCAGTCTGTTTGTCTTCTGCTCCTCTACATTAACAAACCCGATTTTGTTTTGTCGTGGCTCCACAGACAAAATGTTCTCTGTAAACTCGGGATGATTTAGTCAGACAAATGTTTCCTTTTTGGTTCTTCCTGTGGATCAATCCTGCCCATCACCTTCACCTTTCACTATTTTTCAATTCCGTTGGGAAGAGAAACAGTTGAAAAGCTGTAACCTGCTCCTGGATGAAGGTGCAGATGTTTTTGTGGACATGAAGGGGAATTAATTTCAGCGAAGGTTTTTTTAGTTTTATTGTTTATTCACCAAACACACAGAAACTCTTCTGCAGGTCTAACGCCAACAACAACAACAACAACAACAACAACAACAACAACAACCGTCACTAAGACAGAACGTTTAAGCTCTGAGGGTTTGTGTTTTATTTTTATGTGTGATGAAAACTCTGTTCTACGTTTGACCAAAGGTTTAACAGAACATGTTTTCTCAATCCATGTTACATGTTATTTATTCAAATATTTGGCTAAATGATAAATAAAAATACTATTTGACTTTTAACATGTTTTCTCAATACTGGTAATGTTTTTAAAAAGCCCAACAGTGGATTACAGAAGTTTATCCAAAGATTTAATGTTTTCTGTGACAAAATGTTTGCTGTTTTTTTACTGAAGAGGGCGAGTTTTTGAATGCGACTGGGCGGAAATCACTAAACCCAAACTGGCAACGCTGCGTGTGAGTGTTTTGTTATTTGAGAGGGAGTTTTTAAACAGTGTTAAACCAAAACTTAAATTAAAGTCTGACAGAGTTTCAGACAGAGTTGCAGACAGAGCAGTGCCTACAGTTAGCTCCAGAGAATGTTGGTGACGTCAGCTGCAAAGTGTCAACAGAAAATGCGTATCGTCTTGGTCAGTCCGAAGTGAAAGTTTAACGAAGGTCTTTGAGTATTTCTGTAACGTGATTTTAAATGTTTGTGTTTCATTTCTGTTCACAAAACTCCAACAGTCACTTTTATTCAAACCAAAAACATCAAATAAACCACATGTAAAAACTCTAATAAAATAAAGATTACACCAGTATTTGCATTTGTAGAATACTTCAGTTTGTGGTGTTTAAATGTTTATTACGTCTTCAGCGTTAGAGTAAAGGAGCACAGTTCCTCCACAGCAAGGACCCTGATAAATTTCTTTTTTTTTCTGAGGTGGATTTGTTCTTGGGAGGTCACTCGGCCTGGACGATGCCCCGCAGGTCCATGTGTCTTATCCAGATACTGCACCTGCCTCACCTGCCTCACCTGCCTCGTCTACTCTCCCTCACCTGTTTTTCTGACCAATGCCCCCTCTCCATCTCCATCCAGAGCTTCATCACCACCTCTGTCCTCCTCACACAGCTACCACCATGTCCCCTGACATACCCCTGACATACCCACGACATACCCCTGACATATCCCCTGACATACCCCTGACATACCCCTGACATACCCCTGACATACCCCTGACATACCCCTGACATACCCCTGACATACCCACACATACCCCTGACATACCCCCTGACATACCCCTGACATACCCCTGACATACCCCTGACATACCTGACATACCCCTGACATACCCCTGACATACCCCCTGACATACCCTGACATACCCATGACATACCCCTGACATACCCCTGACATACCCTGACATACCCTGACATACCCCTACCCCTGACATACCCCTGACATACCCATGACATACCCCTACCCCTGACATACCCCCTGACATACCCTGACATACCCCATGACATACCCCTGACATACCCTACATACCCTGACATACCCCTGACATACCCCTGACATACCCCTGACATACCCCCTGACATACCCCTGACATACCCATGACATACCCCTGACATACCCCCTGACATACCCTGGACCCCATACCCCTGACCCCCTGACATACCCCCTGACATACCCCTGACATACCCCTGACCCCCTGACATACCCACCCTGACATACCCCCCCCTGACATACCCCTGACATACCCCTGACATACCCATGACATACCCCCTGACATACCCCTGACATACCCCCTGACATACCCCATGACATACCCCTGACATACCCCTGACATACCCTGACATACCCCTGACATACCCCATGACATACCCCATGACATACCCCTGACATACCCCTGACATACCCATGACATACCCCCTGACATACCCACATACCCTGACATACCCCTGACATACCCCCTGACATATACCCATGACATACCCCCTGACATACCCCCTGACATACCCCTGACATACCCCTGACATACCCCTGACATACCCCCTGACATACCCCTGACATACCCCTGACATACCCCTGACATACCCTACCCCCTGACATACATACCCTGACATACCCCTGACATACCCCTGACATACCCCTGACATACCCCTGACATACCCCTGACATACCCCTGACATACCCCTGACATACCCCCTGACATACCCCTGACATACCCCCTGACATACCCCTGACATACATACCCCTGACATACCCTGACATACCCCCTGACATACCCCTGACATACCCCCTGACATACCCCCATACCCCCTGACATACCCCCTGACATACCCCCTGACATACCCCCTGACATACCCCTGACATACCCCTGACATACCCCCCTGACATACCCCTGACATACCCCTGACATACCCCTGACACTGACATACCCCTGACATACCCCTGACATACCCCCTGACATACCCCCTGACATACCCCCTGACATACCCCTGACATACCCCATACCCCTGACATACCCCTGACATACCCCTGACATACCCCCTGACATACCCCTGACATACCCCTGACATACCCTGACATGACATACCCCCTGACATACCCCCCTGACATACCCCCATGACATACCCCTGACATACCCCTGACATACCCCTGACATACCCCTGACATACCCCTGACATACCCCTGACATACCCTGACATACCCCTGACATACCCCCTGACATACCCCTGACATACCCCTGACATACCCCCATACCCCCTGACATACCCCTGACATACCCCCTGACATACCCCTGACATACCCACATACCCTGACATACCCCTGACATACCCCCTGACATACCCCTGACATACCCCCTGACATACCCCTGACATACCCCTGACATACCCCTGACATACCCCTGACTGACATACCCCCTGACATACCCCTGACATACCCCCTGACATACCCTGACATACCCCTGACATACCCCCTGACATACCCCTGACATACCCCTGACATACCCCCTGACATACCCCCTGACATACCCCTGACATACCCCCTGACATACCCCTGACATACCCCTGACATACCCCCTGACATACCCCTGACATACCCCTGACATACCCCTGACATACCCCTGACATACCCCTGACATACCCCTGACATACCCCTGACATACCCACATACCCCTACCCCTGACATACCCCTGACATACCCCTGACATACCCCGACATACCCCTGACATACCCCTGACATACCCCCTGACATACCCCTGACATACCCCTGACATACCCCCTGACATACCCCTGACATACCCCTGACATACCCCTGACATACCCCTGACATACCCCAGGGAGGAGGACCTGTTGATGTTCCTCAGGCACAAATGAAGGAGCTTCAGGTTCCAGAGGTTCATTTGAAATGTTCGTTTATTTTGGTTCAAATTGGTTTTGTTTGTGATTGTTTTTGTTCTTCTTATGGACTTGACAGTTAGAGACTCAGAGACGACATGTTAGTGTGTATATTATTATTTTATTTTCTATTATTAATATGTAATTTTATATATTTTATTTAATGTCTTTTTACTGTAAATCGTTGAGAACACTGATAAAACCAGGAGGTTGAAGGACTGGTTTTAAGTCAGTTTTAAGTACGACTTGAAGAGGGAGAAAACCGACACCTACAAAAGCTCTGAAAGGTGTGAAAAGACTAAACACATTTATTAGACGACCAGGGTCAAAACTGCTCGTTCCGTCGTCTTGTCTTGGACCCTCGAGGTTCATCACGGCTCCAAGGCCAAAGTTGTACGAGCAGCACGAAGCCACGATAATCAACACCGCCTCATCCATCCTGGAGCTCTGCAGGTCTCGTAAGCGGCGCCACTAACACTTCATCCTGACAAAAGCCCGTTCAACGATCACCTCCCTGGTCTGATTCTTCAGCCCGTTTCACTTCATAGAAACTGTGTGACCTGCAGCATTAGGATTTGTTCGCTCAACGGTCGGCGGGGACTTTTTTTATTGAACCAGTCGCTGCTGTTTGGTCGTGACGTTTGTAAAGCTCCAAATCCTGTAGGAAGAAGAACAATAATGACTTTTCCCAAGATCAAATTCACTAAACATTCTCTTTGTTCAGACTTTAAATCCTCGAATCATTGGTAACACGGAATGTCTGTCTCTTCTCTGATTGGCTGGTGCCTGAACTCACACTTCTGGGGTTTTTGTGAAACGTTTAGTGTTTTCTGATTCCAGATCTAGAGCTGGAGAGAAATGAAACTGAGAGGAGACACTACGGGGGCACCAGCCTGACTGCACCTCCCCCCGAACTGATGTTGAAATTGTGCAGGTGTTCATCATCGGTCAGGGCCTCGTTGTCTCGCTTTGGTGTAATGGAGAAAAAAAAATCTTTCACAGCTTGATGTACAGATGGACTTTATTTATCCTGAAGGAAACAGAAGTGTCCAGCAGCGCACGTCAAGACACAAAGACACAAAGACACAAAGACAATGACATCCACACAAATAAACACACAAACGAACCTGAACCTAACCTGAACCACCCTGTGACGTTCATACAACAGACTGTCCTGCCCAAAAGCAAACGGAGATATAAACTATGTCCCATTACAGTGACTTTAGGTTCTGCTATGTTACATATTGAGGAGTGTGAATAAAAAGCTGCAGGTGCAAAGGTGCAGAGGGTCCAGAAACATGCACAACCACAGCACATCATCTTTACGTTTGAAGTGCACTAATTTATATAGAGAAAAACATTCAGTAGAAGAGCAACACTGTAAAGAGTTCCATGTCACTTTAGCGACGTCACACCTGGTTTTAGTTCATTTCCTGCTCGTTAATGTCCCAAAATCATCTACTATCACAGTTTCACTTCACTGATATTCTGAAATATGAACAAACCTTCTGCGTTTTCTGTGCTCTTCCTGAATTCTTCCTCGACGTTGTGCAGTTGAAGCACAGACTTGTTTTGGGGCCTGGTGCTAAAGCAACGACTGTTTTTAGCGTTTTGTCCGAGTCAAACACATGAAACATAAGAAAACACTCGAAGCACGAACGTGACGTCATGTCTGAGATCTGAGTGGTTTCACAGAGAATAAAAGAATAAAAGAACTCAGCACAAGTGTCTGGACTCACAGACTCTGTGAGCGTCACTACTTCCTCTGTGAGCGTCACTACTTCCTCTGTGAGCGTCACTACTTCCTGTCCAGTTTTATCTGTTTTTCAGTTTTCAAATCAGTGGTGTTCAGGTGGAGGATCTGGAGTCTGTGTGGAGACATCAGGTGTTACAAAAGACTAAGGCCAAACTGAGCCAGACTGACCGTGTCCTGCACTCACAGTTCATGAAGATGTCCTCTGGGAGGCGCTATGTCGCCACAGCAAAAGACTAACCACTACACCAAATCTTTTCTTCCTTCTGCCATAAGGATTTTAAATGGAAAGTGAATTTGTTGCTGTGTCCCTGATGCTCTGAGGTTTGAACGTCTGGTGTCTGTCTTTTTCTTTATTATTTATCTTTATATATTGTGCATGACCAGAGATGTGCCAACTGAACTGCCCTTTGGGATTAACCCTCTCCAGGCAGGCGTTGCAGATTTGCAACAGCTAAATTCCAAGTACCTACTTACTCCACATCCATATTTTATGAGCTTTTTTTACTCAGGAGCCTTTTTTCCATCCATGCTGATAAACGTGGGCGATGCAAGAACAACTACACACAAACGGCCAGAAGTGCAAAGTACTTTTTTTGTTTACAAAGGATAAAAAAGTCAGAATTGTATATTACTACCCCATATTATAATTTTCCCCAAATATCAGATTCTTCCTGATACTAAAAATTAATTTGAGCCTGTGAGGGTTAATAAAGTTGTTGATTGATTGATTGATTATTTTGTGCTGAGTCGTGCTAAAATGAGTCAATATTTAAAGGTGCAGCAGTGACAGGAGCTGTGGTGGACGTGACTGAAAACATGTTCAAAAGTACAAATAAAATGCAGACTTCAGCGGACGACACGAGAAGCTAAAGACGTAACAAGTCAAACTAGAGTGACGGAGCAGGTCTGTGGACTGGGGTCTTTATTTGTGACGATAAATTCTGTGGATCATGTGGATGAGCTGCTGCAGTTTAAATTTAACACTTTACGAGAGGAAAACAGTTTTCTCTTTGAGGCCAAACAAACAATATCATGTGTGTGACATTCGACCTGTGGAACTAGTGGGATTTTCATCGTGTCGGGTTCAGGTCGGATTCGATCTCTTCTCCGACGGACACGAGTCGGACTCGGACAGAAACATTTGGCCCTGGTCCAAACTTTAACCACGACTGAACTATTGTGAATGAGTTGAACAAAGTTTGACTTATGACGGTTTCACTTAATGCACCGTACGGTCCGAAAAATACACAACTGTACAGAATCAGAGGGGTCAGAGGTCAGAGGTCAGGCGGCTCAGGGCTTTGGCGAGGGCAGAGGGGTCAGGGGTCAGGCGGCTCAGGGCTTTGGCGAGGGCAGAGGGGTCAGGGGTCAGGCGGCTCAGGGCTTTGGCGAGGGTGGAGGGGTCAGGGGTCAGGCGGCTCAGGGCTTTGGCGAGGGCAGAGGGGTCAGGGGTCAGGCGGCTCAGGGCTCGAGGGCAGAGGGGTCAGGGGTCAGGGCTTTGGCAGGGTCAGGCTCAGGCTTTGGAGGGCAGAGCAGGGGTCAGGGGTCAGGCGGCTCAGGGCTTTGGCGAGGGCGGACAGAACGGCGTCTCTGCTGTGCGTGGCGTTGTAGTGCGTGAGCCGGATCAGGGCGTCGTAGTCTTCCTCGGAGTAGGTCATGTTCTGGGTCGTGTACGGGGAACCTGAGGAGCTCACGTCCACCTGACCCGCCGCCAGCTCCTCCTCCGTCTCACGCCGCACACCTGGACACAAAAACACTGTTACTACGGCGACAGACCAGACCCAGGACACGCCGGGGTCACACGGACGCTCCAGACCTCCAGACCTCCAGACCTGCCAGACCTCCAACCTCCAGACCTCCAGACTCCAGCCTCCAGACCTCCAGACCTCCAGACCTCCAGAGACCTCCCTCCAGACCTCCAGACCTCCAGACCTCCAGACCTGCAGACCTCCAGACCTCCAGACCTCCAGACCTCCAGACCTCCAGACCTCCAGACCTCCAGACCTCCAGACCTCCAGACAGACCTCAGACCTCCAGACCTCCAGACCTCCCTCCAGACCTCCAGACCTGCAGACCTCCAGACCTCCAGACCTCCAGACCTCCAGACCTCCAGACCTCCAGACCTCCAGACCTCCAGACCTCTCTCTCCAGACCTGGTCTTTGGTCTGGTCTGGTCTGGTCTGGTCTGGTCTGGTCTCTGGTCTGGTCTGGTCTGGGGTCTGTCTGGTCTGGTCTGGTCTGGTCTGGTCTGGGGTCTGGTCTGGTCTCTGGTCTGGTCTGGGTCTGGTCTTTGGTCTTTGGTCTGGTCTTTGGTCTGGTCTCTGGTCTGGTCTCTGGTCTGGTCTTTGGTCTGGTCTCTGGTCTGGTCTCTGGTCTGGTCTTGGTCTGGTCTGGTCTGGTCTTGGTCTGGTCTGGTCTGGTCTGGTCTGGTCTGGTCTCTGGTCTGGTCTGGTCTGGTCTGGTCTGGTCTGGTCTGGTCTGGTCTGGTCTGGTCTCTGGTCTGGTCTCTGGTCTGGTCTTTGGTCTGGTCTGGTCTGGTCTGGTCTGGTCTCTGGTCTGGTCTGGTCGGTCTGGTCTGGGGTCTGGTCTCTGGTCTCTGGTCTGGTCTGGGGTCTGGTCTTTGGTCTGGTCTGGGGTCTGGGGTCTGGTCTCTGGTCTGGTCTGGGGTCTGGTCTTTGGTCTGGTCTGGTCTGGTCTTGGTCTGGTCTCTGGTCTGGTCTCTGGTCTGGTCTGGTCTGGTCTTTGGTCTGGTCTCTGGTCTGGTCTGGGGTCTGGTCTTTGGTCTGGGTCTGGTCTGTCTGGTCTGGTCTGGTCTCTGGTCTGGTCTTTGGTCTGGTCTGGTCTGGTCTGGTCTTGTCTGGTCTGGTCTGGTCTTTGTCTGTCTCTGGTCTGGTCTCTGGTCTGGTCTGGTCTGGTCTCTGGTCTGGTCTGTCTGGTCTGGTCTGGTCTGGTCTGGTCTGGTCTGGTCTGGTCTGGTCGGTCTGGTGGTCTGGTCTGGTCTGGTCTGGTCTTTGGTCTGGTCTGGTCTGGTCTTTGGTCTGGTCTCTGGTCTGGTCTTTGGTCTGGTCTCTGGTCTGGTCTTTGGTCTGGTCTGGTCTGGTCTGGTCTGGTCTGGTCTGGTCTCTGGTCTGGTCTTTGGTCTGGTCTTTGGTCTGGTCTGGTCTGGTCTGGTCTGGTCTGGGGTCTGGTCTGGTCTCTGGTCTGGTTCTGGTCTGGTCTGGTCTTGGTCTGGTCTGGTCTGGTCTGGTCTGGTCTGGTCTGGTCTGGTCTGGTCTGGTCTGGTCTGGTCTGGTCTTTGGTCTGGTCTTTGGTCTGGTCTCTGGTCTGGTCTCTGGTCTGGTCTCTGGTCTGGTCTTTGGTCTGGTCTTTGGTCTGGTCTGGTCTCTGGTCTGGTCTGGTCTGGTCTTCTGGTCTGGTCTGGTCTGGTCTGGTCTTTGGTCTGGTCTGGTCTCTGGTCTGGGGTCTGGTCTGGTCTGGTCTCTGGTCTGGTCTTTGGTCTGGTCTTTGGTCTGGTCTCTGGTCTGGTCTGGTCTGGTCTCTGGTCTGGTCTTTGGTCTGGTCTCTGGTCTGGTCTCTGGTCTGGTCTCTGGGTCTGGTCTCTGGTCTGGTCTTTGGTCTGGTCTTTGTCTGGTCTCTGGTCTGGTCTCTGGTTTGGTCTCTGGTCTGGTCTCTGGTCTGGGGTCTGGTCTGGTCTCTGGTCTGGTCTGGTCTGGTCTGGGGTCTGGTCTTTGGTCTGGTCTCTGGTCTGGTCTTCTGGTCTGGTCTGGTCTGGTCTGGTCTGGTCTGGTCTGGTCTGGTCTGGTCTGGTCTGGTCTGGTCTGGTCTGGTCTGGTCTCTGGTCTGGTCTCTGGTCTTTGGTCTGGTCTCTGGTCTGGTCTCTGGTCTGGTCTGGGGTCTGGTCTGGTCTCTGGTCTGGTTTCTGGTCTGGTCTGGTCTGGTCTGGTCTTTGGTCTGGTCTCTGGTCTGGTCTCTGGTCTGGTCTG